AAAAAAAACAGCTGAAACCGAGCAGCAAGGAGCCATTTAAACACACTTTCGTCTCTCATTGTCTCCTTGTACTGGTTCGACAATGGACGCGAACTTGGTGGTGACCGGTGCCGTGACGACATCGGCCGTCGCCATCGTTCTCTGCTTATTCTCCGCAGCTTGGATGTTCGTCGATGTTAACAACTTCTACGACGCCACCATGAAAGAGATGTTTGAATTCAAAGTAAGTAGTCTTTGGAATGTACAGAAAAGGTCCGTGCCAATTCTGATTACTTCTTGAATTTGGTGACAGTATTTTGTAATTTACTTTTTCCTTATCCCTCTGGCACGCTCAGCCAAATAATCTTTTGATGTGTACGAAAACTTACCAACGGCTATGCAACTGCGACCCTTATCATCGAGTAGAAGCCGTGAGGAGAAAGTCATCTTGAATGAAGTCCATCGGTTCAACGCAAAAGTTCCATTCGATTTTACTTTGAAAGAGAAAAATTATCATGACATACCTGGATCTTTCAAGGAGGAGTGGCATAAATGAAGATAGGAAAACCACTACTTATTGTATATTTTCACGCAGGTTGGAAACTCTCCAATATTAACCTCATATTTATGGGTCGAACGCCAGTGGAGACTAGAAAATGTTCTACTGGAAAAGATTATCGATCGCGACTTCTACACTACTTCTACACTCACCTTGTTCAAACAGCCTTCGCTACCTGTCAGGCCAGCGTTGATTGTGGCGACCCGGTGGGCTTGTGGCATGGATGCGGTTCAGTAGTTACGATTTTTGCGAAGAGATGCCGCAACGGGACATCAGTTAGTACAAAACTCAGCTTGCGTCAGTACTCCTGTCGCGAATTTACTTATGGCATCAAGTCATGCATCTGCCGGCACCCTCACTCCCCTACTGTAGGGCCGCACTCTAACACCAAGGAGTTGACGCAAAATTTGAGAGCGGCAAACGGCCGCTGCGGTGTGACTTTCCTAACCCGTAGCTGGCACCTACTTCGAATCCCGAGGCCTAGTGTTCGCCCGATATCAAACAACGTACCTATCCTTCTGGTTTGCCTAACGCGCGGCCAATAGAGCAGTGAATAAGTTGAACTATTCAGCATTTAATCCCACTTACATTGGTTACACAAAACATTGAAGCATCACTGCTACAGGCTCTGCAACATGTGAAACTCGTACCACAGGAAAGAACTAACATGGGGTGAGGTACGGCCCCTCCCTTACTACCGATGCGAGGCTGTAAGTTAAATTTAGGGGTCACCCCACAACCGCGCGAACCCAAAGCTTTAGACCAAGGCACGTCTGTTTCTTTGCTCTCTTGTTTTTCAGTAACAATTTTAGATTTACTTCCAATTTAGCTTTCCAGTAGTGTGGCTCGAATCCGCCAACTATCCAAACCAAAAGTCCGGCTCGACACTTTTTTATAAAGGAAAACAGGAGTGTGAACCAAAATAAAGACAAACACAGACAGGCACCAAACTGAGGCGGCCCGCTATCTATAGCCGCCGAACTGGCAGTGACGACTGCGTCTACGCGCGTGTTGGCTCCCGGCCTCCGCGGTTCGAGGAGCGCCTACTGCGAAAAGCGACATTAGGAATTTGATTTTTTTCAGTAAGAGAAAAATTCTGATGTGTAGCGATTATAGCTTCAAACCAAAGCCTGTTTTTCTCTTTTTTTGTATGTATTGAGGTTCCACCAAAGATGATAGCAGTAAGAAAGCGCTTTACATCGTGCCACTATGTCACTGGAACCTCATGCTGCATAAAGTGGTTGCGAAGTATGTTTGTCGGACTAGCATAGAGTAAACTTTCTTTGAGAAAGGCGCCGCAAGGTTTTTTTTCAGCTCGAAAAAACACCACCATCAAGAGTTATTTAAAGATTTTTTAGCTTGTAAGGAAAATTGTACATGGCAATATAAGTTTTCTCAACCCTACCATGTGATAAAAAATAAATCCTAACATTCGCGAATAATCGTGACATTTTCAACATTTATTTGAAACTAGCTGGGATTCCCGGCTTCGCTCGGTCCCTCCTGCCAGCTTTACTTGATGC